TGCATTTCATGATCCATAACACAAATCAATCAATTGAAATATATATTCCTAGTCAAAAAAAAGCGAAAAAATTATAGACTTTTAAACGTTCTTTCCAACAATATGTTAGGGGGGAAAAAGGTATAAGAAAAATTAGATCATGCTCGTACTCTTGATCACTATGCTATAATAAGAAGGAGCAAAGGTGTGCCCATCCTGCCCATGCCTAGAACTGCAAGAAAATTTTTCCTTGTTGTTTGAAATATTGTGAAGATGCTACAGAGAAACCGAACTCTAAGGAGGCTGCTTACTTAAAATCATCTGATGAGCAGTTGAGGTCATTTAGTAGCTTGTGTAAAGAGACAGCTCTGTTCTAGCACAACAGACGGCCACACCTAACCTTACTGCAGCTAGCCAAACCACCTTCTTATTTTTTTTTTTTTTTCTATGCTAAAGGAGAGCAATATATTCCATCATCTTATTACTAAGTGTGTTCCCAGCCTAACCAACATTCTTTTTCCTTCCAAATATATTAGAATTTAGTCAAAATGTCAAAAGAAATGTCTGCCAATCAAGTGTTCTTTATGCATGTACAAGTTGCTATGTCTGAATGTGACTGCAAGTATTCAAATGTTAATATTAATAATACGTATACATAATTACACCTGCTTTTATATATCCTATAGAGAGACACTAAGGACACAATGAAGAGAGCTGTTGGTGAGACCGGCAACACCTTAATACAAGCTGTGGTCCAGCATTCACACGTGTCCGCCCGTCAAGACCCGACAGAACCCAGTTCTTCACGGCACCCTTGGTATCAGGTCTAGGCCTTCCTCAGCCTTTGTCCTCTAGGGTTGTGATAGCCCCATGTACTTTGAAACTCTATTAGCAATTTTGTCTGACTTATCTTAACTCCATGCTCAATTTATCTCTTACAAGTAGACCTCATCTGTCTAATGAAAAAAAGAAGAAGTAAATAGAATTTATTTGAGGTCTAAGTTTCATGTTTCTACCAAGTACATAAAGAATCAGAATTACTTGGATTAATAATAATAATAATAATAATAATAATAATAATAATAATAATAATAAAAAGATCTACAGATTTCTTCTAGCCATTTCTATAATCTGTCAAGTCATGGAATTTCTGTCGAAGCTGTAAGCATGTTGCTAGTCAATCCCACTGTCCCTTGCGCATGAGAGAGCACTCACTTCCTGCCGCCATAACAAAAGCTTTGGGAACACATCTACGAACTATCACTCTGAGCTCCGGTGCCTTCCCGTACCACTAGCGTGACCGTGATGTCTTGCACTGCTACTTTAAAACATCCAGCAAAGAGTGAAAGGTGCAACTCCAAGATGTAAAAAAAAAGGTGAAGCCCAAGTCCTTGGAACTGCCCTGAAAACACCTTCCAGCAGTGCTTGTGGGAGGTGGAAAGGGGGGGAAGGGAGAGAAGGAATGTCTGGCTTCAACAAGTTTTCTGCTTACATCAAAATGTCCTTTGGGGCAAGGCTGCCTGCCCAGGTGGTTTCAGGGAAGTTCTCAAGGTTACTGGCTAAGAATAAGACTTCTCAGGGTCTGGACGGGCGCGGCACTTACGTGTGTGGTGACTACTCGAGTATATTGAGCCAGCGGCCCAAGATGGACGCCCCCCGACTGCGTACCTTGTGCTGGCCACCCGCCCCATTACTGCTCTTCCCGTTGCCATTCGTGCTTCCCTGTGGTGCCTTGAGGGAGTCTCGGCGACCCACAGCTACTCGCCCACTGGCAGCCACACTGCTGGTGCTCCGTCCCAGGGGGCTGGCTCGTGCTCCCTCCTGCAGGGTGTTTCTACTTGTTGCCGTCCTTGTGTTAATGCTTGGAGCAGGCGATGACCGGGGAGTAGCTGTGGGGGTGGAGCGTCCTGATGCCAGCCCAGGCCTAGTGCGGGGTCCAGCTCCCCGTCCTACAGACTCCCGCCCTCCAGAGACCTCAGAGCCTGAGGACTCCCTGTGGCTACTAACAGAGTGTGTGGTGTGGTGAGAGCTCCAAGAGCCAACTGAGGAGGAAGTCCGAACTTCTCGGCTACGTCGTGGTGGTTTCTCTACAGTGGGGGGAGCCTTGCGACCTCCAGACTCTACTGTTGAACCACTCATGGTGTTGTTGTTGGTCTCTGCATGCCGTGTGTCCTCTTGATGGACCACCACATCGTACTTGATGTTGGGCCCTGGGTGGACAGTGTGTGTGGCAGCTTCCACACCCTCTGCATCTCCACTGTCTGTCATGGTTGCTACAGTGTGCAGCAATGGGTGGGCACCCACACTCGCATCCTTATGGCCAGGCGAAGTCCTCTCACACTCCTCCAGCTGGTGAGGCAACATGGTATTAATCATCAGGGTAATTATTAAGGGCCATATGTTGAGACATGTCCAGAGTACATAATAAAACAGGAGCAAATATATAGTCACAGTGAACAATGTCAAGTCAGCTACGATAAAAATATTAAATATAAGTTTTGATTGATGTATTTCTTAGATTATGTTAAAAAATCAAAATGAAAGGCTGAAATATATATATACAAATATATACACATGAACATTTTATAAATAAACTAACACTATGACAGAAAACAGATGGATAAGTATTAGTGCAAATACAAAAACATATCAATGATATGATAATAAATACATAATAACCAATATAACTATCATGAACAATCATATTTCTATAATTTTAAATTATCAAAAATCATCATAAACACAAAAGGCATTATCACAGTATAACAGGCTTTTTAACAAAACAATAAGCAAAAATTATCATCTGTAATATAGGTCTCCAGCCTGGGGCCAATGTCACTTACAACTCTTATTCACATGTGGCAATATGCAGAGAAAGAGAGGAAAGAAAAAGCAGAGAGAAAGAAGGAAAGAAAAAACAGAGAGAAAGAAGGAAAGAAAGAATTAAACACAAATAAGAAAGAAAGGGACACAGACTAGTAGGAATTGCAACTAATAATTTGCAAGCATACCCAATTTTAACATTGCCAAGCAGTATCTAAAATATTAAGAAGTTTTGATGATGTGGCATTCATTGTATCAATTTGTCCACCCATTATTTTTCATGTGTTATTCAATTGAAGGAAGACTAAAAATACCAGCACAGACCCATTCCCTATTACTAATCTGAAAGTATATGTTCAATCCTAAGCCTTAAACCTCCACTCTGCTTCCTTTAATCTAATGCCAACCTGCGTCTTCAGCCCGAGGTTTTCTTGACGCAGACTAGTGATGGTAGCGTGATTCTGACGTTGTTCTGTCTCCCACTCAGCAGTCTTGCTCACCCACTCCTCGCTTGCAGTCTCAATCTGCTTCTTCAGCACCTGCAAGATATGTATTAGCCTCAAGATTTTGTTGGTTCAGCATCTGTGTGCATCATTTGTGAATTAAGAGGACTTCAGTACTGGCTTGATGAAAATATGAAAACATAAAAAAGCACACACTTTTACATACCTCAGTCTCCATGACAGTGGTAAGAAGTTGGCGCTGGAGTTCCAGCACATCCTTTTCACGGAGAATGGCTGAAATCCTCTGTTTGTTGGGCTGAACTTTGATTTTCACCCCTTTGAGAAGGCTCACAGGCATGCTGAGTCCTCCATCGGCACGGCCAGCTCTTCG